CCCCCCCCTCAAGAAAGAGCCTCATTTGTAATCATAAATAAAAACTAGCATAATCATTTTAAATAGTTTAGGCCACATGTTTTTTTTTTTTTTTTTCAGGATTTTTTACGTTAAAATCTTGGTGTCACTTATGACACTTACACTCCTCTTTTGTATTTATTTATGTGATGGATCTTCGTACAAATTTTGGATGCTAAACTCTATATATCTATAATGTCACAAATGTTCCAGGACGCAACATTATTAATCTCATTTTCATTAGATGGCATTATAAACTAGGTGACATGCTGCCGCAAGTCGTCTAACCACCACCCATCCACGCCTATAGTTGGGCCACTGCCCTTCAGTAGACCATTGCCCGTTTGTCGATCATCGCCAGACCACCGCCAAGCCGCCAACCACTAGACCTCTTTCAGACCTCCGCTTGACCTCTCTAGACCACTTATTATCAACCGTCTATCGTCGACCATCGTCATACCTTTGTCCCTTGCCGACTACAATTCCTCTGACCACCGTCACCCAATTATGATCCTACCAACCAAAGAATCAGGCCAACACTCTTAAGAACAATTCTCATATCACTAGATTCTTTCAACTCCCACCATGTAATATACTCTATATGATATATATTTGCTACATCGAGCTAAGAAAGAGCCTTATTTGTAATCATTAATAAACACAAGTATACTCATTTTAACTCGGTCAGACCTCATGGTTTTTTTTTTCCTTTTTATTGTTTCCCACAAAAAAATATTGGCATCTCTTATGACTCTTACACCCCTCTTTTATATTTATTTGTGTGTTGGATCTTCATACAAAACTTACATGCTAAACTCTATATCTTTGTTCTATGACGCAACACTTATCAATCTCATTTTCATTAGATAGCATTATAAACTAGGTGACATGATGTCCTCTCACCAACTGATTCCATATTTATCTTTAAACCCTAACCCTAAACCCTAAAACAAACAAATAATACTCTTTCTTTCATTTTTTTGTAGTGTACAATAACATAGTTCTTTCATTTTTGTAGTGATTCAACCAAATTTGAATGGATGTTACCAATATTAATTTAATTCAGGAGCAATTTTGATTTTGTAAATAAGATCTCCCAATAATATATTTATGTGATTCACATTTGTCCCTTAATAAATTTGGGGCCTCCAATTCATTGTATATTTTCTTCATTGTATATTCAAATTAATTAATCTATCTTTAGTGAAATTTACATACATACCAATTTATTTCTTGCTATTTACATATCTAACATCCAAAATATTAATATTACATATCTACCACCCATATACAACTTCAATATCAAATATATCACTCATATAATTCATTTCTATCATCCATACCATCTTATAAACTTTAATATTGCATTTCATGCATCCAAATTTATTTTATGGGTGGTAGGCATGTAATATTAATATTTTACGTGTTAGATATGTAAATAGTATGAAATAAAGTGGTATGTATGTAAATCCCCCAATCTTTTTTTATTTATCTTTTTCAATAAACTTTTTTAGTAATTTTTATTTATGTTGTATGATTGTTATAAATTTAAGTGAGCAGAAATCTCAATACAATTTGCATTTTAAGTATTTGGAGTTAAATTGAAGACGAACATATTAATACCAACATTGATTCAATTTTGAGCTTTAGATAAAACACTTAAAATATAGTAAAAATCTTTCGGGGATTAATTGAAGTATCAAATGTTCTATAATTATTTCATGCTTATAATTAAATTAAGAATTTCAATGAGATGAATCCAATAAGACTTAATAATTATTGTGTCAAATATTTTTTTGGGCTTAGTTCTTTTATAATTTATTAAATTTGAATTTAGTTTATTTGCTAAAATCTTTTTTTTTTTCCTAAAAAAGCCCCTTAGATTGTGTACTATTTTCGGCAAAAAAGTTCCTTTATAAGGATAAAATTGATTCGATCTCGGCGTAACGAATAAGGCTAAACTTGGAATAAAAATGATTTATAACATTCTGATTTTAAATTAAGACTAGAAATTGATTTTATTTATTTATTTTACAGTTATTTCAATTATATTAATTTCAAACAAAATTTTAATTAATTTTATGTCAGATATTATGATATAAATTCTATCATAAAATAGACTAAATAACTTGATGAGAAATTATTGTGAATATACTAATAAGAAATGTTTATATATATATTATATTGTTGTGAATTAGTAGAAATATGTTTGAAAGTTCATTTCAAAGAAATTTGCACTCAATGAGGGATAAACATGTCTAGATTCAAACAAATGTTCAAAATTGAACTATTTTGAATTGATTTTGTTGGCAATAGACTTCGATAAGCAATTTGCATATACAAGTGGAGGTAATTTTATTTGAAACCAACTTATGGGTATATTTTTCTAAAAATTAAGCATAACGTAGATCATACACTTTTAGATATTATGAGACGTATTTATTTAATTGATATAGAGAGACTGAGGTCAAAGACGATGGCCCAAGAGACCGTAGACGTTGTGAATTAGTAGAAATATGTTTGAAAGTTCATTTCAAAGAAATTTGCACTCAATGAGGGATAAACATGTCTAGATTCAAACAAATGTTCAAAATTGAACTATTTTGAATTGATTTTGTTGGCAATAGACTTCGATAAGCAATTTGCATATACAAGTGGAGGTAATTTTATTTGAAACCAACTTATGGGTATATTTTTCTAAAAATTAAGCATAGCGTAGATCATGCACTTTTAGATATTATGAGACATATTTATTTAATTGATATAGAGAGACTGAGGTCTAACGACGATGGCCGAAGAGACCGTAGACGAGTGACAGAGGTCAGAGGAGTTGTAGTTGGACGGTCGTAGTCGAGGAAAAATTATTAGGTCTGGACACCTTACGTAGCTATACATCCGGACGCCAATAATATGTCGTCACGTGCTCATACTCTTTATCGCGCGGCCCGATAACTCGGACTCGGTATTGCTATGTATTGGCTGATTTGTGTATTGCTATGTATTGCTCGGCTCGGTATTGGTTGGCAATTATGATAAATACAAATCCGTTAAGTCCAATACCTAGCAATACCGAGCAATACCTAGCAATACCCCGGTTTTTCTAAGTATTGCTAGGTATTGCTCGGTATTGCTAGGAGCAATACCGAGCAATATCTAGCAATACCTAGCAATTCCCAAATATAGCAATACCGGGTTCCAGTCTAGGTCGGGTCGTCGGGCCACACGGTAAAAAGTAACAGCACGTGGCGACATATTATTGACGTCTGGATGTAGAGCTACGTCAGGTGTCCGGACCTAATAATTTTTCGTAGTCAAGAGACATGCCAGAGTGGTTATTATTGGACATGCATAATCTAGAGACAGAGGGATCATAGTCGGCCAATGAATGAAATGACTATAATTCGGCAATGATGATCGCATACATTATTCAGCACTGTGCATTTATTAATACTAACACTTAGCCCCTACAATTGCGTCGCGTGAACTGTACTACATACAGGGAATCTCGAGGCGCCCGTAATTATAAGCTAAATAAAGGGTATTATGGGAAATTATCAAATTACTTTGCCTATTTTTGACGAGACTTGAGCAGCCCAACCAGCTGGAAGGACATAAATTCGTTGAAGACAGCCGGGCCTCGTGAACGAGCCAACTGGCCGATTGAGCTGGCCACGTCGTGAGAGGAAGACGGTGGCGTGCTCCGCGGGTAAGCGAGGCATTTCGCGAGAACGGTGGCCAAGTTTGGCGCCGTGTATCTCAGCTCTGCCGGTGCAGGACATAAAATTGGTTTGTCCGCGGGACAGTAGAAGAAGTCGGTACCCCCCATTTGTCCAACGCTGATTGGATGGAATCTTGATGCCGGGTCGGCGCCGCCGCCGGCGATGCTAGTTCCGCGTGACTGTCGGTGGGAGTTGATGTGTACGGCGAAGGACTGAGTGGTCTGGGTGGGACCATGTTGATGACGAGGAGTTTGTACGTAATTGGAGTGAAGATAAAAAATGGTTTTCCAAAAAAAAAAAATAAATAAATAAAAAATGGATTTGTCGTTATTGTATTTTTAAATTTAATGATTGGTGTGATTTTTTTAATCCTTAAATTTTGGTATGGCATTCCTATAAAAAATATTATGATAATTAATTTATAGCTCAAAAAAATTCAATATGTGAACTATTTTTAGTTTGGTGATAAATAATTCAATATTATATTAATAGGTCAATGAAGTATCTTTATTTCTTTAATCATTAGGTTGTGATTTATGTAATGTTGTATTATAAATTTATAATGAGGACATGTAATGGTTAATATTTTTTCCTATTTCATTTCATTTTTATATTATATTTTAGTGTTGATTTAAATTATAAATGAAAATTAATTTATTTATTATATGTAGCATATTTAGGTTTCATTTGGAATAATTTTTTTATTGCTTTCTAAAATAGTTTCTTAGCACAAAAAAGAATTTAATTATTTTTTTTTACTAAAAAATTGTCCTAAAAAATTAGTAAGAAAGCTCTTCCAAACCAAGTCTTAGTGATAATTTTATGACATTGATATGGTTATAAAATCATCAATCCCTCTTCCTTTATATAACCCATATTAGATTTAGTTTATCAATTTAGAATCAACTTAACCTAATATTGAACTTTTTTAATTTAATTATTCTTTAAAAATAACCTAAATCCCTACTTTCTTTATTTATGAAAATTTGTTTCATTTGTAGAAATTATGAAAGGATGCATGTGTAGTACAGAGAATTTAGTTAATTTATCTTTGTATTTTTTCATATGCTTTTGAAGGCATCTTAAGCTAGTTCACAAAAGCCTAAAAACTTTAGCCACAAATTAACTTGACCTATTATATAAATTTAAATTTAATTTATATTAAGTATGAAATTATATAATTTAGCATTATAGCATTCTTACTATTGTGAGCTAGAATATTCATGATGATAGAGACTGAGAGTTTATTATCTTAGCACTATACAAAGATTTGACACGCTCACATACTTAAAATTATATGAGATATATTGAGTTTTTATGTGAAAAATCAAAGAAAAAATCATGAGTTGTAGCCCAATTGAAATGATTGTACTAATATTTATCATCAATTACAAATGATGACGTTTTCCATGATTCAAAGAGATATTGACATAATATAGTAAAAATATAATACATAAAATATAGTTCATGATGGAAGTTGGAGGGCCCAATTGATAAGTGTAAATTGTATATTATTATTGTTTTTGTTAAAATCAATAAAAATGCTTATTTTTGTTTTATTTGTACAGAAATCGTGCAGGAAAAAGGCAAATTTATAAATTTTAGGTAGCGCCGCAATGCCAATAAGATTCATGTCATGGCGTCATATTGATCAATGTCGAAGCGTTGAGTTCATCATGGCAACGCTAACCTTCTCTATTTGTAAGTGTCGTGACATCACAGACGTTAGCACCACAGTGCATCATAATGACGTTATGCCCAAAATAAGCACCATAGTATTGGGTGGCTCGAGAAAATTCACTTAAGAGCACAAACCTTTCTAACATTGCAATGCCATAAAGTAGTTCTAAGCACCACAACTTTCAAATTTTATAGTGCCACGGTGGAGAAGTTACAACTACTAAGAGCCGCACTGACTCAATGAAGAGACACAACAATTCGTGTTGTAACCGTGTCACATCACTTAGCGACATAGCGGAGCCGATATTATAGCAATGAGGCACTATTTCACTTTTTACAGCCACAACACCACCATGTATAACGTCGCGGCGCTCAAGTTTCATCTTATAATTACTATAAATAGATGTCAATTTTATTGTCTGCTTAGATATTCTATTTTGGGTTGATGATATGAAGAGTATATTAAGTACTAATATATACTCTTACCCTTTAATAAAAATAATGATATTTTTTATATCACCCATTTTCATTTAATGTATGAAATGATCATGTGTGTAATTAAAACCTAGTATGATGTATAACCTCGACTGAGAAATACAAGAATAAGTATTAATATTAAAATATGACACTGAAATGCTTAGACATTTGATGTTTGAATATTCTATGCTCAATTGAGATAATAAAATTATATGAAGACTAATAATAATTATTTTCACTCCTATGAACTTGATAGAAATCTAAGGATGCACATGTTCTGATCCACATTTATAATTAAAAGTCTTATTAGGAAAAATATGTTATTTACATCCATCAATCTAAAATATTTTATCAAAATTATATCAACTATTTTCTTACTTATTTTCATTCAATGGTAGGAACTCAAATTTTTATTTTTCATTTTAGTAGGATACATTTATGCATTTGGAGTAAGCATTAGTAGTTTTGTTGTAGTACAGTAGATTACTTTCTCATATGTTCGACAATCTAATCTATCACTTTATTATACGATTTAGAATGTATATTTGTGTAAATTAGTAGAAGGAATCCATCAGATCATGTCTGGCCCAATTCAAGATTAAAAATAATAGGGGCCTTAGAAAAAATTACAAATTTTTTAAAAAATTTAACCATGCCTAGCCTAGTTCAAGATCAAGAACATGTTAGACCACTTAGGGAGTATGTTACTCTATAGTAGAAGGAATCTATTGGAGTATTAATATACCTACTATCTAACTAATAATTTTTAATTAAAACCAGCTATTATCCAAATAGTTTAAAATTTTCAATTCGGGAGAATTCCTGTTGAATATCCTAACTTATATTTAGTTTTTTCTTATAAATATGTGTAACTTTTAAGTATAATAGTGTCAATGATGATAACATTTCACTTAAATTGTTCCCATTTTTTCTAGAGGACAAGACTAAAATATTGTTAAATCTTTTGCCTAAGGCTCTATAACCACTTGGAATAAGTTGACACACAAATTCCTAACAAAGTATTTCCAACCTTCAAATACTGCTAAACTTATAAATAATATCACTTTTGTGTCCAATTTGAAGGAGAATTTATTTATGAATGTTGTGAGAGATTTAAGGAGATGCTTAGGAAATGTCCTCATCATACTTTACCCTATTGGTTAGTTATTCAAACCTTCATAATGGATTAGTATAATCTCTTAGGTTAATCATTTATACTATAGTTAGAGGATCTTTAATGTCTAAGCCATTTGAGGATGCTTATGAACTGATTGAAGAAATGAATACTAATAATTTTCTGTGGCATATCAATAGGATGAATCCAAAGAGAGAAATTGGAGTTTATGAATTTGGTGTTTTATAAATTCTTACTACTCAGGTAGCTGCTATTTTAAAGAAATTAGAAACTATTTGAGTTAAATTAGGATCTAACTCATCTATACATTTGGAGGATACTCATTTGAATTATGTTGATGATACTAGTACTCTAGGGATTAAAAATGTGAACTTGATTGGAAAATAAAATAATCAATATTCAAATACATATAATCCAAGTTGTAAAAACCATCCTTATTTTAGTTGGTCAAATAATATTGGTGGAAATAATCAGTGGAATTCAGGATAATCTAATCAAAGAGGAAATTGAAATAATCCTTAGGAATCTTGTTGTGAATTTTAGACCTACTTACTCTCCAGGATTTAATCAAAATAACTAATATGGGAATAGAAAGTCACCCTTGGAAGATGCAATGATTAAATTAGGAACTTAACTACAAAGTCAAGTTGCTTCAATTAAAAATTTTAAAACTTAATTAGGACATGTTATAATTTTTTTCAATAGTAGGCCTCTTGGATCTCTCCCGAGTAATACTGAAGTTAACCCTAAAGATAAAGGAAAAAATCCAGTGAAAATCATTTGAGGAGTGGTAGTGATATACCTCAACCAAATTGATAATTCTAGATAAGTCAACTAAAGACTATAAACTTAGCGTTGTTTGGAAGGTAACCCACTTATATTAAATTTCCTATGTTTAAATTGTTGCATATTATTCTATACAATTATTACACTTGATTTTCTATTTTGCTAAAATAAAAATTAGAATTACAAATTTTATAAAATTAGAATAATAATAAAATTTTATTTTATAGTTTGAATGAACATTACATGATAATTGCTACTTTGAAAACCTAACACTTAATTAATTTAGATCATTTAATTTTGTGACTTAACTTTAAAATTAGAAACTATATATTAACTTATATTGACAACTAAATTAAAAATGAATAAGTAAATTTAAGGGTTAGATAAAAGTAGCTTAATTCAGGAAAATTATAGTTAAACTTGAAAATATAATTAGAGAATTTATTGAATCCTTATATTAATTCAAAAGGATTTTAGAGAATAAAAGAAAAAATTAATATTCAAAATCATTAAGTCTGCACTTCACAAAATAAAAAAGGAAGGAAAGAAAAATGTTAAAAAAAAAAAAGCTAAATGAAATTTCTTCAGAATAAGAAAGATAAATACATTAAAAAATTAATATAAGTCGTAATTTGATTTTAATTGCACCATAAAATTTAACTTAAAAGAATAAAATAAGTAATTTAGTACATGTGATAGTGCACTTGTAAATTCCTTATTTAAACTATGAGCAACTAATCCCAAGGCTACATTATTCCTTATATATTCAAAAGTCAATTTAAATTTTTTTTAAAATTGTGGATAAATTCAAACATAAGTAATAACATTAATGACGGATTGAGATAAATGTTATGTATTTTCAAATTTGAATAATAACTTGTTCATTTTAAATTACTTCTAGACAGTGCTATATTATCCTATATTTTAGTAATTTTAAATTATCAATTTTTACTTTGGCTATAAAGGTGATTAAGGAGTGAATGTAAATATTGCATGAGGACAATCAAGAGTTTAAGCTGAGAAAATTTTGATAAGTGTAAATTATGTATTATTTTTTATATTAAATGTTATGAAAATGTGTTATTTTAATTGTATTTGTATAAGAATTGTGCAGGAAAAAGATAAATTTATAAGTTTTGGGCAGCGTCGATAAGGTTCATGTAGCAGTGCCATATCGATGAACTTCGATTCATTGATTTCAATGCAACGACACCGACCTTCTCTATTTGCAAACGCCGTAGTGCCACAGACGTCAGCAGTACAATGCATCACAGTGTTGTAGTGCCCAAAATCAACACTGCAATATTGGGTGTCTCTAGAAAATTTAGGCTGGAGCGCCAACTTTTCCAACACAGTGGTACCAGAAAATTATTCCAAGCACCGTATAACTCAAAATTTACAGTGTTGCAGTGGAGCGATTATAACTGCTAAGAACCACACCAACTTAAAGAAGAGACACACCGGTTTGGGTCGTAACCATGCCACATCACTCAGCACCATAGAGAATCTGACACTCCAACTCCAAGGCACTTGTTCGCTTTTCGTCATCGCAACACCACCATGTTTAGCAATGTGGTGCTGAAGTCCTATCCTGTACGTACTATAAATAGATGTCAGTTCAATTATTTGTAGAGTTTAGTTATCTGAGTGTAATTAAGAATTTTTATTGTATTTCTTTAGTGCCCCTTAGAGTAAAGTCTATGGGAGGCTATGGAAGTGCAAAATATAATATTTAGAGGGACCAGCCTGTATTTATATAAGCAACTCTGTTACTTAAGGAATAAGGAGTGCGGAAAAAATACTTAGGTTTATGGCGATAAACTTATTACATTTTTATTTTATTTTATTCTTCTATGAATAAAATGAATATGAGTTATCTTGTTATTTATTCCGTATATGACTAGCTCTTCTATTTTGGGCAAATGATCTAAAAAGCAGACTAAGTATTAATGTAGACTTTTATTCTTTATGAAAATAATGATATTTTTTATATCTCATGTTATTCATTTAATGTATATAACAATTATATGTGCAGTTAAAATCTAATGTGATGTATAGTATCGACGGAGGAATACAAGAATAATTAGGAATATTAAAATGAAATATTTGCATGCTCACATAAATGATGTTTGAATATTGTATGTTCTATGGAAATAATAAAATTATAGGAAGACTAACAATCTTTCTTTTTTCCTATATAAGCTCGACAAAGATCTAGGGATGCACATGCTCTGATCCACTTCTATAATTAAAAGTCTCATTAGAAAAAATATATTATTTACATGCATCAGTCCAAAATATTTTATCAAAATTGTATTAACTATTTTTTTACTTATTTTCATTCAGTGGTAGAAACTCAAAAACTTTAATTTTCATTTCAATAGAATAAATTCATGTATTTGAAGTAAGCATTCTGCTTAATATGTGCGCTTCTACTGGCAAAACATCAAATTACTTGAATTTCCTATCAACCTCTCAAATAACTTATCAATAAGTTACACTAAACAACACATATTTAATGCAGCATTATCATGCAGGTAAAAATCCAATAATCTCCTCTCAAATCCCTTCAAAAACACATTCATGGGAAATCTAGAGGAGAACTACTTAACTTTTGCTAACCAGTGGCGGAGCCAGAAAATTTTCATAGAGGGGGCCTATTTCTTTTTTAATTCCTCAAATTTTTTCATCCGGGCTTAAGACTATCATGGACAGCTTTAATTTTTTAAAAAAATAAACTATTAAATATAAGATGAAAAATACTTACAATCTAGACCAATTCTTAAGATTAAATAAGCACTATTTATTTCATGCCTCGATGCTTAACATAAAACTGATGCTCTTGGCTTAAACGTAATCGCAATAACATGAATTTATAAGCACAGCTCATTACATGAAACAAACAAACATATATCGTACAATTAGCAAACTCATTAGCCTTACCACAATTTTTATTTTATTTACTTCATGAATTCCTTTCCATTCATTCTTGTCAAAAGTTGCCATCTAGACTTTTCTGTTAATTCATTCAATTTCAACAACAATTAGTAAAAAAACAGAGTTTTTTTTTATTATTAATTTCACTATAATAATTCCTTCCATACAACACCAAGAGATTTTTTTTTTTTATTTCATTTCACAACATATGCAGCCAAACACAGGGAAATCATACAATTAGCATAAAAAACCAAATAAAACAAATCAAG